TTTTAATTAATTTGTTTTGTTTTTGTTTTTTTTTTTTTATAAAATAGATTTTTTTTTATAAAATTTTATTGTTTTTTTTTTATTTTTGATTGTTTTTTATAAGTTATAATTTTTTATTAATAAATAAAAATAATAAATTTTAAACTGATTAGATTATAATTAAACTTTTTGCTTTGCTTGGGCTTTTTTTTGGCGTGCTGCTAGCCTCGCATGTGCTTATTGTGGGTTGTTAATATTATTTGATACAAATTTTTGACTAGGTCTCTCAAACTCCCAGTCACCAATATGAATCGCATTTAATTATTTATTTAAAAAAAATCAATAATACTAAAAAAAAAATCTAATCAGTTTAAACTGATTAATAAAAAAAAAGTTTGCTCTGTTCTTACGATGATTTAAGGTTCCCGAATCGTTGATGTCTTTGATATCGATGATACAGCTACGACCCCATCTCGCTTTAAATCATTGTAACAAATGTTTCAAACAAAAAATTGGACTGACTATCAGTCTCTCTCTTTTTCTTCCTCTCTCTTCAGTTGGTGTTTATAAAAGAAATTTCGAATATCTCGATGCTTATGATAAGCAATTACTAGTGTGATTGCTTATAAACGCAATTTCATTTTCGAAATTCTTTTTATAAATAAATAAAATAAAAAATATTTATTTCTTATTAAAATAGTCTGTAATACATTTGATATTAGTTTCTAATTTTGGGATTTCTACAACTGTTTCTCATTCTTTTATTAACTGATTAGATAATAAAGTCAATAAATTAAATAATGTTTGATTTGTTCTTACGTTGATTCAAGATTCCCAAATCGTTGATACGGCTCGATCCCAGTCTCATCTCGAATCATCATAGTAAACGTCTCAAACAAAACTTATACCCCACCCGGTAATTTATTACTCTTGTATTAATTCAACTTCCATGTTGAATGGCCTGCAAGGCAGGTTTTTTATTTGGTTTTCTTTTTTGCATCAGAAACTTTGAAGATCGTCCTCGTACGCCATCTTGACTAAAGCCTGCGATATTTACGAGATACAATCCTCAAAGTTTTGGTTAATTCGTATTTTGAAATTCTTTGAAATAGGGTATAAAAATAAATTGAGGTCATGAAAAATGATTTTTAACAAAAATAGAACCGAGAATTACAGGTGGAGAGATAGTGATCACAGAAAATTCTAG